GTCATTCGCGAGAGATAGAGAACCGTCGATGTCAATGAGCTCGAACACTCCTATTAATTATCATATGCAACCCCGTAACCCTGTCCCACCTCCAGGTCCTATCCAACAAATGCCTCAAAGACAATTCCAACAACCACAGTTCCAATCACAACTCACTCGTCCACAACCAGTCGTACAACGCGAGAGGTGGATATCACCAGAAGACCAAACGTGTAATGGACTCATTGCAGAGAACGAGAGATGCCTCGAGAACATCACACAGGCAGTCATGCAGAAGCGAACGGACTTTTCGGAGAGCATTGCAGTGTTCAATGGGAACCTCCAGAAACTGATTCAAATTACAAACCAAATGGCAGCAAGTCTCCCGATGTTTTACTTCACACCAATCAGTGTTAATCTCCCAAAGTTCAAGAAGGAGGATATCAGACACTCCCCAGCTTATGGGGCTGATTTTGTAAAACAGGAACAGAGAAGAGATGTCTTGTGAGTGTTATGTGATGAATTCGTAAGTTTAATTTTTAGTCATATTGTTGTTTGTTGTCATGTGTTGTGAGTAACGTCTTGATTGGGTTGTCTAATGGAAAGGAATTGATATGGAAAGAAGAGATGAGGTAGTGGTGAACGGGTTCAAAGAGGTGGAGAGTCTATTCTAGAGAGTCAATGTGGTGAAGAAAAAAGTGAAGAGAACAAATGAGGGAGTGATGTGTTTTATACATCTGAGTTTTGAGATGGGGGTCAACACGTCACATGAAAATTTTTGGTGTTGTGGGTATGAAGATTTTTTAAATAATACATAAAAAGTGTGACTTCCCGAAATAAGAGCATTTTGGGGGTAAACGAAAAGACATACAGTTTTGTCCTCTCAATGAAATTTGTGCTTTTTTACCACAAACAAAACCAAATTTTGAACTTCATCATTTTGGAAACCAAATTTTGTTGAGTAAGAACGAAAAGAAGAGAAAACTATTTTTATGTTATTTTGAATAGTTTTTTATTGATAAAATTATAACAAAAAATAGAAAATAATACCACTTGAGACAGAAATATTTTTACACATCATATCTATTTGTTATTATAATTTTTACTATATATTGTATAAATTATCATTGATGAAAACTATTCAAAGCGCATTAAAAATTAGCAAGATGTACAAAAAATCAATACTTTTACTCTTGAAAATGTTTGAGAAGTTTTCGGGAACAGAAAACACGATTTCGAGTGCGGTTGAGAGGTACGACTTGTTCTCTGGGAAAGTGCTTGACGAGGCGAAACGCGTCATTGACCAATTTGAGAAAAAAGGAATGAGTCAAGACCAATTGGTACAGTTTGTCACGATTGTCGACTTGTTGAACGAGAAGCATATATCGGAGTTTGTTGTGTGAATGTACAACCATTTACTTGTTGGGTATTTGAATGAATTTCCGTTGACGGGAGAATTTAGTGGACTTGAGAACATCGATAAGAGATACGTGTGGTTCAATAAAAGACTGATGGGATATGAGGAGATGTACGGAAAGATATTTCCGAAACGGTGGAGAGTCGGCGAAGAGCTTGTGTTGGAGTTTGTAAGCTCCACGAAAGTTGCGTTTGAAAAATTGCTTGAGCGACTGATTGTCGAGTCGAAAAAGGCCGGTGGGGACTCGACGAATTTCACAACGAAAATTGTGAAAGCGCTTCACGTCACAATCATATTTGAACAACAATTGTATAAGAGAGTTTACCACAAGGAATACAGAAGGAAAATCGACTTGTTCCAACCTGAAAAGAAGAACATTCAAGTCAACAATAATGCTGGCGATGGCAAAGGTCTTCCACAACAAAAGTTGCCTGTCAAAAAGAGGACGAGTTAAAAGGGGTCAAATCCATTTGACGACGAGAGTAAAAGCGCGTTAGAAAATCCGTTTTCGGACCACAACTCGCAAACTTCGTGTGACGCCAAAATCGGAGAAAAGGCGCAACCGATCAATTTGTGGGAGAGGCGAGTCCTAAAATTAGACCGAACCCATTTGATGATGACTTGGGGGATATATATATTCGAAGGATTTGAAAGACTCAAAAAGCCTGAAAAGTTCTCAGGAAATCAAGAAAGACAACGCAAAACTAATGAAAACGGATACAACAAAAGATATAATGACTGGCGGAACTGGGATGGAGCCTGGTGATGCATACGCTGATATGGTGAATTCCCTTTGATGAAGACAACAGCAGGAAAAAGGTTGGAAGTACAGACGAAGGTGACAACACAAAATTTGTTGTTGGCGCCCTCTCGAGATGTTTTGAACCGTACATGTCTGGGTATGTTGAGTTGGAAGACAAGAACTTGACTACATTTGTCACAAACTCCTTGAACGAAGAAAACTTTAAAGAAGAAGCTGAGGATGGCGTGTTGTCGTCGTGTAAAGATTATATTTTCTATGCGAAGAAGTGTGGAGAACGGTGTATTCAAATTACACAAGGCAAACCGTTGTTGGACGTCTGCGCACAAATTGCGGAACACGCCGAACAGTACGCGAGAGGGATATCAGCGAAGTGTAAAGAGAATGACACGATTCGGAGGTGCTGTTTGGCCATCAACACATCGGACTATTTGGAACATTGCTCAAGGAATATACCGACATGGCGACAGTGTCTTGTGGAGAGGAGCTGGAGATCTTCCAATTCAATATCATCAATAGATGTGTCAAATCAATAATTCAACAATTGGTTGTGGTGTTACTCGAGAGTGTTAAAAGTGTTGTTGGAGAGGTTGGAAATGAATTGGGACATATCGAGCGAGTCGATTGACGATGAAGACGATTATGTGATTAAAATATGTGAGATGATAAATAACCAATTTGGCGTGATAAAGGCGAACATCTTCAAGAAATACTACATGAGAATATGTCACGTGACTGTGAACATGATCATTGATGAGATGTTTGAAACCATTTTTAAGTGCAAAAAAATATCGGTTGAAGGCGCACAAAAAATGCAAATGGGGTATTCCCAAATCAAAAGCTCGTTACAGAAATCGCCGACGATTGAAGTGCAGAGCTGTAAAGAGACGGGGAATAGAGAAGACGTTTTGTCAGAAACAGACTACGCGATGCAAGTCAAAAAGTTGTTTTTGGTTATTGAAAACACACTTAAGGTATTGCAGTGCGAAAATAAAGACACTGCGTTTGCATTGTATCAACAGCCCAACCCCAACCAGTCCGATGAATTGTTTATATCTATAAAACAATATTATTTATATATTATTACAGTTAGTTTCATTTTGTTTTAACTTTGTTTCAAAACAAATAAAAAACGTTTCAAAATAAATCAAAAATGCACATTTTTTCAACTCTGTTTCAAAACAAAATAATTTTGTTTCAAAATAAATATAATTGTACCAAATGAAATCAAAAGTGTTTCAAATTAATATAATGTTTCAAATTAATACAAAAATGTAGCAAAATAAAATAAATTTGTTTCATAAAGCTGTAATTTTGTTTCAAAATAATATTAAAAACAATACTTAAACAACTTAGCTAACTTGAAAAAACAAAATGGATTCTTTTGGATATATACCAATGGAAGAAATTGACGATTTTGTATCCCAAAAACAGCCGTTCATTGGACCTTTAACAAAACCTCCAGAAATACCACAACTTAAAGAAAAACCCACTGAAGAAGAAATGAAAACGAACTCACTAACACGCCAAATGACACACATAACAGAGGAAAATCACATTTTTAATGATTTAATTAAAAATCAAAACGCAAAAAGACCATACTTGTTGGTTACGAAAAACTAACGAATTCTTTTGACTCATCTTTACGAAGAAAATGGAGAAGGAATGTCTTTGGTATGGTACAGCAACAAAACTCGAATGACCATACCATCGACTTGTGTCTATCTCAACAAATTAAGACAAGGAATTGATATATCTCCAGAAGTGAAATGTGGTAGAAAACCAAAGTATACCAACGCACTTCTTAAAAGGACTGCTGTTATGCTTTGTCAAGAAAACATGTCACTTAGAGAAGCCAAAAAGAAGTTGGCAGAAGAAGAGTTCAATACAGTGTCAATATCATCGCTAATGCGCTATATAGAAAACGACGAACTAATGAAAGGTATCGAACTTGACCCATTGTTTTTTACAGAAGTAACAATTCGAGGAAATACAGCAAATACAATTAACAACAAAGAGCTACGAGTACAAAAATTAGCAGAGTTGTTACAACTTCAAAGAAGTGGCTATGCTATTGTCTTTGTCGATGAGTCTCATTGGAAGGTTGGTAATGTCCGAACAAGAAAATGGGGTTCACGTGGAAAAAAACACTTCAGAACGACAAAATTGAAAACGTTTAACTTGAGTTGCGTCAGCTCGATATCTGAATCAGGTGACAAATTTTGTCGAGTATTTAACGAAACAGTCAATGGTGAAATGTTTAGTGCATCCTTTAAACTTCTTGTTGAAAATTATGTTGCTTTACTTGGAAACATAGTCTTTGTAATGGACAATGCTTCTGTACATAGAGAGGATATTATATCTGCAGCAAACGCTAGAGGGTGTAAGGTGTTGTTTAATGCACCCTATTCCCCAGAATGCAATCCAATATAAATGATTTTCGGTATTTGGAAAAGTCGAGTTGGTAAATTACCAAATGAAAACTTACTTCAAATGTTAACGAATATGGCCAGATGCTTTGAAGATATCGAAAAAAGTGAGGTAAGAAGATGTGTTAGTCATTTTCTTAATCGAGTATCGACAAAAGTGATTAATCGAGAAGACCTCTAATGGAAAATGTTAATTAAATTGTTTTTAATATTATTTTGAAACAAAATTACAGCTTTATGAAACAAATTTATTTTATTTTGCTACATTTTTGTATTAATTTGAAACATTATATTAATTTGAAACACTTTTGATTTCATTTGGTACAATTATATTTATTTTGAAACAAAATTATTTTGTTTTGAAACAGAGTTGAAAAAATGTGCATTTTTGATTTATTTTGAAACGTTTTTTATTTGTTTTGAAACAAAGTTAAAACAAAATGAAACTAACTGTAATAATATATAAAATAAAACAATGTAATCTATCAATAATATCTTTGTGACTCTTTTTTTGTGTTTTTTCTCCCCATTTCGTTTTTTTCGTTTTTTTTTTCGTTTTTTTTTCGTTTTTTTTTCGTTTTTTTTTCGTTTTTTTTTCGTTTTTTTTTCGTTTTTTTTTCGTTTTTTTTTTTCGTTTTTTTTTCGTTTTTTTTTCGTTTTTTTTTCGTTTTTTTTTCGTTTTTTTTTCGTTTTTTTTTCTTTTTTCTCATATATAATCATCAATCTTTTTTTGAATATTGTATTCATTTGTGGATGATATAATTCGAGTTTCGTTATACTCAATATATTTGTTGTTCTAAACTGTTTTTGTAATTTGTTTATTTTTTTTTCATTCGTTTCGTATATTCATTTTGATAACTCATTCATTTTCTCGACTTGAATTGTGCCACTTTTGGACCAAATCAAATTGTTGATATTGGTAAGTAGTGATTGACTTGTTTAATGTCAGTCTTTTCATAATTTCATTTGATATTTTTTAGAACACAATTAAGGGAAGACTTTCAAAGTCTTTATGGCACACCCAGGCGCTTATCATATTTACCGTTTTACTAATTACAATAAGATTGTATTTTTCTAAAAGCAAGTCATTTGATTGTAAGCGCCTATACTTGCTTTGGATATATGAGTGTATGAGGGATCACAAAGATACATTGATGATTACATTGTGTTGCGTAACACTCTCTAAGCGGTTAGTTTGTCCGATACGAAAAGAAAGAAACAACTTATTCATAATATGTTTATAATATTAAATTCTTGATTTATATATGGCTGTATTTTCTCTATTTTTATTCTTTGTTTTTTTTTCATAAATTTATAATATAAACAACCATATTCTATACTAAAATACAAGTTGGTTGTATCTTTATATCTGAAATCATTGCTTCTCTATACAGGGTTTTGTTGTGTATTCAAAACATGTTGCATTGTTTGTGTTGTTTCTAATAAAAATTGAACCAAAAATACCAAAATTATTTATTCTGTTCACCATTACATTACTCAAACAACGAAGTGGTGTTTCTTTTGTCACTGATAAACAATCATTTCCATTGTACAGTCAATAATCGATATAAGGGTTATTCGATATTAGGATTTATTCGATATAAGGGAGAAAAATAAGAGGAAGCCCTTATATCGAATAATAGAAAAAAAATTAAAAAAAAAGAAATTTATGTGTTTGCTTTTTGTTGGTTATTTCAATTTAAAAACCCAAAAATGGTAATAGGTAAATTAATTTGTCACTAAGTTAAAAAGTCAATTAAAATAATATAAAAACTGTGTTTTATTATATTTTTAATAGAACATTTTTAATTAAAATAAACAAAATATAATAATTATAATAAAAATAGATAAACAAGTAAATTTTATTTTGAAATAATACAATGAATGTATTTGCATTCTTTCAAAAAGTATACTTTACTTGACAACATATAATAATCAATTGGTATTCCCGCTTTACGAACTTCGTTAAACTAATTGATCAATGCTTCCTCAAGTTCCGGGTTCTGTGGTTTTCTTATTCGTTTATACGAGGATGGAAAGTTTATCAATGTTTCTTTAGAAATTGAACGCAAATGATAAACTTGCTTTGGAAAAATTACTATTTTCAGTTGTTGTCTGACAACTTCGATTACTTTCTGTGTATTTTGATAAGGATCAATTAATTCAATAATTTTTATTTTGTCTCGTAACATCAATGATGTTCTTGTTTTAACACATTTGGATTGCATTAAAACTTAATGATTTAACAGATTTATTTAAAGTTTTTTAAGTCGAAACAAAGTTAGATACAAAAGTTTTATTTATTATATTAATTGTGTTAATAGATTTGTTTTTGTTTTTTGATTTATTATAAAATTTATTATTTATTTTAGAAAAAAAAATAATTGCCAATTGTTTTCAAGACATAGGCAAAGTGTTTATTTTGGTTAGAAAAAAAATAATAATCAAAAAAAAATATTTTTGTGACAAAAAACAAACCGAGGTATTTTTTTGTTAATTATACAATTTCTCATTTTTTCCCTTATATCGAATAACATTGGTACCCGGTATTCCCTTATATCGAATAATGACTGTAATTCCAACTTTCCTATCAAGTTAAAATTAAACAATTTGTTCTCAATTCAGTACAAACATTACAAATAATAATATTGTGGTATTATTATTAAATTATAATTTTATACCTGTATATAAATAAAACATTATGACAAATTCAAACAATCAAACAAAAAAGTATAATTCTTTCTATTTATAACAAAAAATAAAACACAACGAAATAAAAACAAAGACTTTTTATTGAATATAAAAAATAACACAATTTAATTGTTTTTAAAGGTAATTGATAAAAAGTAAAATATGTAAAATTTTTGAGATGATAGAAAAAATAAACATATTTTTGTTTTTTATGTTTTATAATTAAAAAAAACTCTACATATTTTTATATTTTATTTTAAAAATATATTATTATATTTTTTCGTTTATGTATTGAATTGTTTGGCAACTATTTTCTTAAATTTATTCACAAGACAACAGGGAATATCAACAATGCCTTATTTTATTATAATTGTAAATTATTTTTACTAATTAGCAAGTTGTTCGGATATATTTTCTCTTGTTTGCAAAATGAACACTTTTCTTGTCAACAATATAGGTGTTATATTGTTACAACCTTTTTAAAATTTATTCGACTCCTTTTATTTAGAAAGTGAGTATTATAAAATAATAAATAAAATTACAACATGTCTATTATGAAATATATTCAATAAGAGTCGATGTGTATATCAACTGTTTTGTTGTAGCAACACAACTGCTTGCATATGTTTTTGTTGTTACCACCACTATCTCCTTTGTTTAAATTCAATCAAAATACATTCAGACGTTTATTAGTTAGACAACAAAGGTTGTTTTTTGAAAAACAATTTTATGTGTTCCGTTTTTAATAAATTTATGTTTTTTCTTTATGTATAATTGAACATGGATACAGTTATGTATATTGGTGAATTAACTTAAGACTCAATTTATGTGGTACTTTAACACTTAACTGGCTGAATATCTTCTCAAATGGAAATACATTAATAATTTTTGTTCGTTGTAATTAGAATTTTAATAGAAATAAAAATAGAAACCAATAACGAATAGTTGTTTATAATAGAATATAACTTATCATTCTAGTTTTACTTTTGCACCTACTCTAATTATAATAATAATATCTTATTGTTTGTAGAAGCATTTGTGGTCTAAGGGCAGAATTCCACCCTTCCAAGGTGGAGATCCGGGTTCGAGTCCCGGCAAATGCATTTTTTGTTTATCTTAGATAAAAATCAAAAAAATATACAAACATGTATAATTGCATATATCAATACGCAATTATACAACGTTTTTGACGTTTTTGTTTTTTTATTAAAATTCCAACCTTTACCAAACAATGATAGTTCTTAGATCCCAGCTGTTTTTCGAACCAGCGGTTATTTTCACCCTCTATATTTTTTTTGAAAAAAAATAAATGTAATAATTATAATACACATTTTTATTTATTTTTTATAATAAAAAAATAAGTTTCAACAACTCAACAATTATTTACTTTAAATTACGTAAAGTATAGTAAATTTACTATACTTAAACTAATTGTATTAATAACAGACAACCAACCGCAACAATTTAGTTGAATGAATTAATAAAAAAATGTATTAAAAGGGTGTGTATTCTCCAGTCTTTTTCTTTGCAAATTTTGCGATGATCATTCCAAATATGACAACGAGTCCACATGCGGTGACCACAAGTAAACAAATCATTATCCCCTTTGCCCCGAATCGGTCCAACACTGAATTTTGTTTGTCGTCTTTAGCTTTGTTTTGTTTAGTGATAGTTTTTGAAGACGTAATTGATTGTTTCGGCTCTGAAATGTTTCCGTTCGCATTTTTACTCCAGTCGATTTGTTTTGTCCTCAAAACGACTTTTTTGACTTGACTTCCTTTGTTTTGTGTAACGTTTGCAGACGTGTTTGTTGTGGTCATATTAGTGTTACTCCTTTGCATTTCTTTCGTGCAATTTTTACACTTTGTCTGCTTTTCTATGGTAACTACTTTAAATGCGGTCCCTTGCTTAGTGTTCACCTTCTTGACATCCAACACATCAATTTTAACAAAGACAAATCCGACGTTATTGTCCGACGCTACTCTCACTATGACACTCTCTGGTTTGTCACTCTTTGGATTATACATGACAACTTCCCCCGACCGATAGTTGCACTTGTACTTCATCACATGTTTACACTGATTCCCTTGCGTGATGTGTATAGTCACACGTGCAGTCGTCTTTTTGTTGCACGTGTTGACCCGTAGTTTTTTACAGGCGGGTATTTCGACGGCAAAGTACTTCGCTTTGTTTTCTTTGTTTCTTTTGGAGCACAAGTCCTTTGAAAGTGGTAACAGCTCAACTGAGAGTAATTCAGTGAAGTGCAATTTTTGTTGGACAACGACATCTCCTTTGTTGATTTGAACAATTTTACTTCGTGGTACCAATTCGACTTTTGTTGGTGGCTGTGTCAGTTTAGGATGAGAGTCATTCAGTGTCCTCTCTTCGTGCTGCACAAATTCCATCGGTGACATTTTCTTTTGCATCACGCGATGCGCAACTTTAGCAGCTTCAAAGTTGGCTCTGTTAATTTGTTGTGACTTCTCGACTTCTGCTAGTGTCAGTTGTGCTCGTTGAATCGCAGAGTTTGCCTTTTCAAGTGTTTCATTGAGGTGGTGAGTGTTCACGTGGAATTCATCATTTTGCTTAGAAGTCAAATTTGGCGTTGAAGTGAGTCTAACCCACTCGCTTTCTTTCATATCCTTTCCACCAATGAGTCCGTAGTAATTCACAAAAACCATCTCGTTTGATGAGATGACAAACGACAACATAATTAATTGGGTACCAGTAGACACATGTTCAATACACCGTGAATTTTTCCCATTACAACTTGAAAGCACTGAAACAGTCAAAGTGCCATTCCTCTCTATTCGGTGTTCATTGTAAAACTGTAGAGAAAGTTTCAGTCTCGTCGGCGTTTTGTTGTGAATTGAAAACCACGTCGCACGAACAACGGTTGGATCACCACATCCAGTATTTTGTGTTATTGGAATATACTTCGACTCAAATATTTGTTTTGAAATTTCTCGGACTACTTCGACTTTTGTTTTAGTACATTGTTGGGACTTAACTAACACACATAGCACGACAAGAAACAAAATCATGGACTCTTGATTTTTGAGTTTTGGTGATTCTTTAACACTTTTTTTATTAATATAATAATATTATTTTTACTATTAATATATAGTTGTTTTGTGTGTAATTAAGTGTGAATTATTAATAATTATTTAATTTTATTATTATATTTTTATTAGTATTATATAGTTTTTTTAATTAATATTATTTTGTGAACATGTTATAACGGACTTTTTTTATTTGATATAATAAATATATTAAATAAATTAAAAATATATAATATATAATATTTAATATATTAATACTATATTACATTAAAATTATATTATATATAATTTTTACAATGTTTATTTCATTTAATTATATATTTGGAAATATAACATAAATGTTTTTCGACCAAATTAACCATCGAGTAATATAAGTAACATCGTTACATATAATATCAATCTAATGTTAGTAATGAAGATAATATTAATTTATGAGTGACTGAATACCCCAAATAAAATAACTAATGTAAGTAAAACAACAAATATTCATAAGAAATTTGGAAGGTTCAATTTATTTGTAAAAGATTGAGTCGATTAGTTCATTTAAAGTCTGATAAATAAAAAAAAATATAAATAATTATTATAGTTTCGTTTAATAATAATAACACGATGTTAAATACTCTTAATTTAAAGTGAAATTAATCAATTTTTATTAACCTTTTCTTGGTTCAATAAATGTTATAAATTTGATTATAAAATAAAAAACAATTGACTCTATTTTTCGACGACAGATATTTTTAAAATAAACATTTCGAACTATTTTTATTTACTTTCTTCGACATTTTAATAAAGTATATGTCCAAATTCTGTTATTGTATTATGGCTATGTGAATCCAAAAGCCAAAGTACATTTCCGAGTTTTGCGATTGTGGAATTTCTTCACAACCTTTTTCGTTAACATAAAGCAGTTTAGATATAAATAAATTTTGATATCAAGTCGCAAATTTTTGTTTCAATAAAAACATAATAATTGGACATTTTTTAGATTTTTAAATTGTCGAAATCATTAAAATTTGTCAATGTTTACTAATCATTTATTTATTACTGCCACTGTGTGTGTTCATTAATAAAAATATCACTCATTTAATTACATCAAATTGTTATATTGGCTATTAAACTTAAAAAACGCAATTTTGAGACTAACTTAATAAAGTTTTAATCAAACTTTGATGCAAAGATGAACAAATTTTTAACTAAACAAATTTTTGTTTTAATCAACTTTTTTAATCACCTTCTACTTTTTTCAACACCATTTTAATTCCTCATAATTATCAATTACTAATAAAATCGCCAACAAATTTATTTCTATAGCATCATACACTTTTATTACACTTACAAATCAGAAAACCATTTTCCTTTATTTTTCACCGTAAAAAAAATAAATAATAACCCCAATAATGTCACAAAAAGTTGTGCTTGTTTTGTCATTATTTTACATTACTGTATATCATTGTTTCAAATTCTTTTATTATATTACTTAGACTTTCAACATAAAATATTTAAGTTTGACATAAACATTCTCGCAAGATTATTTTTTTACACGTTATTTTATTATCATGTATTGTATGGTTATAGTATTTTTTATCGATTTAATGTTGAATTTGAACAACGAATTCACTACGAAATTGTGTTGGAAATAAAAAGAAAAAACCCCTAATTGGGAGTCAATTATCAAGCCCTTTTCACTTTTGTTTGCAAAAATAGACCACTTGATCAAAAAAAGAATTACATCACAAATCTTCCCGACTGTTTTCTATTTTTTTCTTTAGAATGCAAGTAAAAATGAATTCCGCTCAAATTGACGGAATATGTTTTTACTAAACGCTTCAAACGAAAGAAGATGATATCAATTATACAATCTAAATCTCATAGAAATCCCGCCTTTTTAAGTCAATAACTAACACCAAAACACCATTCTTTCAGTTCACTTTTAGAAAAAATGACCAAAACAAATTGCATCATATAAAGCACATCAAACTACAAATTCCATTCAGTATATGTCATCCAACACAACAAATTCCTCGACAACATGCGTTGACCACACTTCAAATTCCGAAGTGAAGAGTCAAAAGAAGAAGGTAAGTCAGTGGTCCAAAGACGAAGACGAAAGGTTGATCATCTCGGTCAAGCAAAATGGGCCTGAGAACTGGGGGACCATTGCACAAGATGTCAAAAATAGAACACGAAAACAGTGCAGAGAAAGATATTTGAACTGTTTGTGTGAGTCCCTTTCTAAAGAGCCTTGGACGGCAGAGGAAGATACACTACTTATTAAGTTGCAGAAAGAATTCGGCAACAAATGGACGAAAATTTCCGCTTGTTTAAAGGGGAGAAGTCCAAATTCAGTCAAAAACAGGTTTTGCGCTCATATTGCAATGATACCAAAAAGAAGTCAAAATAACAAAGAAAACGCGTTAAAGAAAAAGTTGATAATTGTGTGTAAAGAGTCTGCATTTGTCCCAGCACCAAGTTGGTCATTTTCTATTATGTAATTTAGTTGTGTAATTTGTTTATAATAAATATATTGAGGTCTTGTTTATAATCAATATAGTCGACCACTTTATTTTCTTGTGTGTAAATCAAATCAAAACACTGAAAAACAATATAATTCGGATAATCAAACAAACAAACAAGTTGTTATAAATGCTCAAAACCACTTTAAATTATTATCTTTTGTGATTATTACAAGAAGTTATTCAGAAAAACGATTAAATAAAACGCCATTGCTGTGTTTTTTAAACTTTAATTCAGGCGAATAAATAATCTCTGTTGATTTAAACTACTTTTTGAGTTGGTCGGTATACTAACTTGTTGTATCTACAACGAGTAATTTTTGATGTAACTTGATGTGGGCTTAGCAAAACCCTTACTTTATTTTTTGGCTTTTTTATAATAGATTATAATCACAATTTCGAAGAAAAGTAGCTCATTGATGGTTAATGCGTCTTTTGAGTACGATGTGAACTTTGGACCAGTCTCAAAAATGCGTTTAAAAAATATTGTGTAGAATGTTTTTGCTGCTTTTTATTTTTTCAACCATTTACATATTGTTCAAAAAACATTAAAACAATGAAACCCTTTTAATCACAATTTTGGGAATGAGAAGTGGCATTCACATGAAACCAATTACTCATGTACTGATAAATATATAATAATAACGCTATTTATAATAAAGAAGTTAACAATTTTAAAATAAAATATTGACTGTAAAAGATCAAAAATAACGACGAAGTAGTAAATATAACTGTTGTTTTTTCATTCTTTTTCTATCAGGCATTTACGGACTTTACAATACAAAACAACGTTATGCAACTATACTAAATTGATTTTTATTTAAATAATTTATTCAAATATAATTTATTCGAAAATATGCCGTTTGGTCCAAAACTGATTAAAAACAGGACAAAAAATATGAAGGAGTTGTTGTTTATTCCACATTCAAATCTGCATTTTATGTTTATTGTTTATGTAGATAGTTTGTCAACTTGTTAACTCCAACATTTTTGAGACAAAATGTGTTGATTTGTTTCGTTTAATTTTCAAATGTCGAATTTTTATAATGTTATATTGTTTTTCATATAAACTGTTCATTTTGCGGTTTTTTGGGTTAGAATTATGAATCAAATTGCGAACAAAACAACTCTTTAAATAGCAATTCCAACATTTAAACTATTATATAAACGAACATTCATATAATAGAATTATTGTATTATTATAGTATAAATTCTAATATCATGTTTTGGCAGACACCCGTTTAATTTATTTAACTATACTTGTTAAATACAAACGAAAGTCGACTTCCTGAAATACACCCACAATTTAACTGGAAATACTGATAATTGGATGAAATTATTGTACAACAAATTTATGTTGAAATAATGGTAAAATATAGTACAAACAGAATTCTACAACACTCCATTTGTAAAAAATCTCAAAGAATAACTATTGTAAATTTTTTATAAACTGCCGGAAACCATTTAAAACGGAATTTAACAATTTATAATATTAAATAAATAAAAAAGTCTTACATCTGAATTAAATTAACATTTTAAGTTGGGGGTTATTCTTTTGAATAATAGAGGCATAATTGGATTTTTGTATGGTCAAAAAGAGATTGAATCTAATGATGGGAATAAATTACTTTTGACCAAAAGATTAAAGATTTCCTTTTTTTATTTTCAGTTGCAATAAGTAAAGAAATAAAATCTAAAACGGTAAATAAACGTTTATAATTATTACGATATTGATAGCAAACCATAAATGTAATTTTGAAATGGATCATAACTCTCTTAAACTTTTGAATCTCACAAAGGCTCAGATGACTCTTCTTGTTATTATACTCGTTGTCGCTGTTACAAAAGGATACCTTTGTTCAGTGGGATGCACTTCAAATTGCACGTCAGACTATACATGCCAAGCATGTAACTTTGCTTATGATGATGACCATTCTTGCTTACAATGCGCGTTGATTGCTATAGATAGTACGTCTTCTACGACTTATGTAAGATCGAATAACACTTGTCTGGTCTCAAACAAGAAAATAGTGAGAGACATGAAGACTTCAATCCCACCAGATGAATTTATCACAGAGGTGTTTATAAACCAAGACTTGACAATTGACTTGAACGAACAGAGTGATGTTGATGTATCCTTTTGCACTTACAATTACAAAAATCGATTCGGAAAGTGGCTTAAATTGGATAACAGTAAACTAACTCAACCGTATTTGTACGTCAATATAACTAAATTGATTAATACAAGTTCAACGGTCTATTTTGATATTACAAATACACCAAAAACCTCCCAGAATAAGGCAAAATGCTTTACACACACTTATTTGGATGATAACACAACATCATTTTCTCTATTTTTACCATCAGCAATTTCTAAGGTTGACGACCCATTTTACTACATGTTTGTACATATTAACGAAGCAGAACGTGTCCGGGTCAATATCAATATCGTTGAACAGGAAATTAAAGCAGCCGATTATGAATACCACATTTCACAAGAAATAGCAGATAACTTAGTTAAGAATATCGACCAAGTGCTTTTATGGGGTTTGTTCTATTTAATGTAGTTAAATGAATAAATAAATTAACAATATAGAAGTACCTTTCGAGGCTCGAGGAGTGGTAACAAACCCAGTGTGTTACCCACACGTTGCAATGAAGAGTGTTGTCTTTACTATGGAATTTATTGGAGATTATAAGATGTTGATGGACGCGACTATTAACAACCGAATGAATTATATTCAAGAATACACCATCGTTGATCCAGTCACAAAACAATTGAAATGCGAAAAAACGTGGAACGGATGGAAGTTTGGGGCATTGGCCGAACAAGAGAAAGCTGGTGTTATTGCTTCCGTGGATGGAAATGTTACAGGCCTCAGAAGATTCACTATCATGTCAGTCTCTCAACAAGACCACTTTGTTGTGAAATTTAAAGCGATTTGTCCGCATAAATGCAATGCAGACAAGGGGTGGGGAAACTGTTCGACATATGAAGAAAAATGTATTTGTAAAGATGAGTATGGAGGGTTTGTTTTAATTGCAGTTTATATTGAAAACTAGTCAGAAAAGTGACATAAAGGGATGACTGTCATTTGAAGTGTTTTTTTAATGATAAGTGGAATGAAGACTCAACCAATAAGTGTTACTTTGGTGCCAACCATTGTGACCAATATTGTCAATGTGAAGCTGGTTATGAAAACATCGACCACTTCTGCATTTCACAAAAATGTCTGAGTAATGTCATGGACACCAATGTGAGTTGTTGGGCAAATTCAGAAGGGTGTAAGGTTGACTGTACTTGTATGGAAAGGGCTGGATACTCTATTGGATACAATCACACGTGTAAAAACAAATTATGTGGAAATGGAATACAAGATAAATACTATGACAATGAAGGAAAGTATCTTAGAACAGAAGAAGTTTGTTATTACAATAAATATCAAAATATGATAAAATGATACTTACAAAACAGTGTGACTCGACAACTAATTGCAATGAATTTTGTTTGTGTGCAAAAGGATATATTTCCAATAACTTTATGTGTGAAAAAAAGACACTTTCCAATGGCGAAATAGTTGGCTTGGTTATTGGATGTGTATGTGCATTTCTAATTGCAGTTGTTATTATTGGAATCATTATCTTCCTTGTTGCAAAAACAAAGAAAATTGATATCAACATCTACAAAACACAACAACCTAATTACTATTTCTATATAAATGGATCCCTTCGTAGTGCCCCGTCTAAAAAGGCTAAACACTCCATTGATCCAATTGAATTAGGATTTGGTAATGAACAGAAAGCCACTGAAATATTCGACACGCGATTTGAAAAAGTAGAAGTTAAAAATCACTCGAGAAATAAATGGATGATGGTGATATTCCACACTCCAAACAACCCAAAATTTGTGTTCCATTTCGAACCACAAGTTCTATTCTTACGACCATCAGTGACTAAGGTGATAACAGTGTATATGACACTTCACTGCACTACTTTCTTGAAGAGAACAAAATTGCCTTATACAGTCTGGTTCAGTAAATCAAAAAGCACTCTCCAATATATTGCAGACACATTGAAGAACAAAACTTTTGAAAGTTTTACACAAGACGACAAGATCTTTATGGATAAATTATGCAAGAACGTACAATTAAGAATACATAATGCATTTACTATTATCACAGATGCAACAAGTTCGACGCATATTGACATGGATGAATTGAATATGTCAGAAAGTCCAATAGCTGAAGGAGCAATGGGCAAAGTGTACATTGGCAATTACAGAAGTGTACCAGTTGCCATCAAGCAGTTTAGATGGGAGAGTCTTTCAGATGAAGAGATGAAGGAATTGAAGAAGGACGTCATGTCTGAATGTGAAATGATGAGTAAATTACGAAATCCGTTCATAGCCAATTACATGGGTTCTGTCACATATATGCCACAAGTCTCAATGGTCATTCAGTTCTTTGTATTGGGATCGTTAGGTGAGTATCTGACCAAAGACAAACAAGACTATTTACCTTTATCTTACAAATTAAAAGTGCGAATGTTGTTTGATACAGCTCGAGGAATGCAATTTTTACATGAAAACAGAATTATGCACTTGGATTTGAAGCCAGACAATTTGTTGGTCAATTCACTCGATCCAAATAGTGCTTGTACTTTAAAGATTACTGACTTTGGTACCTCAAGATTTGTAAAGAAAAGTATCATCAAAGGAGAAGACAAAGGGCTTGGGACTCCTGTATATGCGGCACCCGAGTCTTTTAGAGATGAATACACATACTCTGGCGATGTCTATTCCTATGGCATAACAGCTTGGGAAATTTTCTATCAACGCGAACCTTACTTCGAGCTGAAAAGCGTCTTTGAGATTCGACAACATGTTTTAAATGGCAAGCGACTTGAAATAGATCGCACAATGCCACGACTCTATAATGAACTAGTTGAAGATTGTTGGAAGCAAGATCCCGGCTCTCGCCCCACCTTTGATCAAGTGACCAAGAAAATTGTGAAGATAGATGATGATGTTATAAATCAGACGGGACTAGATGTTGGAGTGTCTACTGAGAAAGTCGAAGAACTTGTGAACAAGAGAACAAGGAGGTTACAAGAGCAGCTTGTTCAAGTCGAGCGGGATTAATTAAGTGTTGTTATTTATAGTTACTTATTAGTAACATATAATAACTTATCGATAAAATACATTGAACTATAAAACTACTATAATATAAACTACATATGGTTAAAACGAGTTCTATTAAAATGATGGCATTTTAATTCGTTCAATTTGCACTGTTCAGCTCTTCTTCCATTCGTCGAAGCTCTTCTTCTTCGGCTTCTTCTTGTTTTCTATTTTCCTCTTCTTGTCTTGCAAGCTCCTCTTCTTGCTTTCTGATCTCTTCCTCTTGCTTTTTCATCTCTTCGTCTAATTTGGCCATTTCCGCATTCGACTCGGCTTCTTCCCGTGCCATTTGTTCATTCAATTTTCTCTCCTCTTCTTCAAGTTTCTTCATTTCGTCGTCTTCCGTGTTAGTAGCTTTCAGTGTCTTTCTCTTAATAGTTCTTTTCTTATACTTTTTAATTTCGGGATCATAAAGAGTCTCTTCTACAAGTTCAATGACATATCCATCTTCTTCATACGTTTTAATAACCTTTCTTGTGGGTTCCTCTTTTTTGGTTTCTTCCACTAAAGAAGCTGCAACTTCTTTTTTTGGTTCTTGTTGCTTTGGTTGAGGAGCTTTTTCAGCTTTAGCTCCAGCAGTTTCGCTTTGAGAAATTGTCATTGAAAACGGTCGTTCTGGCATTTTCATTCCTTCGGTGAATTTTCCAATACGAGTTTGGACGGGTCCTTTCACACCAGCCGCTGGTACCCACCCCTCTAATTTCTTTCTCTGAAAAACGTTTCTTGCACACAACTCACAAAATGGTTTACAGTCGATGGCCATTGCTTTGAATCGAATCGGTTTCTCGCAACTGAAACATTTCATACCTTTTTTGTTAATATTATAATAATACATATAATTATAAATTATATTATACTATAATAACATAATAATATAATAATATAATAATATAATAATATATAATATAACAAACAAGTATCATGGAATGGATACCCACAAAACTCCCACGCTGTTGTAGAAATGGGATTGTTACATACAACGCACTTGGGTAAAGCATCGATAGCCTCTTGCTTTCTCTTTGCAGCTTCTTCAATCTCTTTTCTATCTTCATCAATTCGCTTCTGTTTATTGGCTGCAAGCAATTTCTCGTCTTCCCCAACGTATTTATCACCCAATGTGGCATATTGCATCAACTCGGAAGCAAATAGCGTCACTGATTTCGTGTCAGGCTTTGGAGTAATGAAATCTTCTGGTTCACAATAAATGATGATGCCATGTTTCTTAAGAGATACAAAGGCAGTTTTAACATCATTTAACTTGCAGTCAGTATGAGCAATATGAATCCAATAAATAATGAGGAAGTCAACCTTCAAATGGTTTCATGGATAATTTGATATTGTTTTTAATTATAGTTTAATAACATTATAAAAAAGAATAATTAAATGAGCTATTAATATGAGAAACAAACAGGATTGGCGAAGGTCATCTTCTTATAATCGAACTCTGTGGGAAAGAGCGAGTGAATAATAGCACAGACAATTTTCCCATCATTCCAACAAGTGTTAAAGTCGGTTACAGTGAGTCCATATAAACCCGCCTTCATGTTTGTCCACATCATTACAGCTTCTTCTCCAGTGACGTAAGTTGTCATTTACGAATTTTGAGTTGAACTCCAAATTCTTCAACTGTTTAGAAAACATCTATTTTTGGTGAGAATTCAATCAATTCGATTTTTAAAAAACGTTTTGATTTATTTATATCCAATAGTAAAAGTAATAGTAAAATATTATATTAACAAATCAATAGTTAAGTTGGATATTATATAAAAATATTTAAAAAATGGTTAAGATATAAAACTTCTTTTGTTATTATTTTAAATAAATTGGTTTAAATTTGATAATTTAATTAATTTTGTGTTTTTTGGTCAAAAAAAAATTAATTATATTTTATTACAAATTTACTATAAAAAAACAGTTGTTATAGAAACAATATATAGAAATAGATTTATCATATTAATATTTATTTAAAAAATTATGCTATTAAAAAGTTTAAAAATAAAAATTAAATATTTAATTCAATTTTATATTTATTTATTGACTTTTTAATAAAAATATATTTTCTATTGAACATAAGTTGTATGTCTAGTTAAAATAAATGAAAAATTGTTTATTAGCTTAACATAATTAAATTGTTGAACAAAGATTTAACAACAATTTATGTTTATAAATAGTCAATGTTTAAATCGAGTATTTAAACTATTTCAATACACACAGTTAACTTTGATTAAATTATTGATAATTTGACTAAAAATATTATAACTTAATCAATTATCAATATTGTAATATTATATTATTCAGATTACTCACATCTTTTTTAAATACTCTAAATTGTTAAATTGTTTTTGCTTTATTATTAGATTATTGATAAAATCAACAATAATAATTATTATAAACTTAATGTATTTCATCAAATACAATTACCCTTTAATATTATCAATTCAATAAATGATGCTAAGTTCAGTTTGTTAGTGTTTTTTATATAAAATGATATTTAATGTTATTAAATATCTTTAATTTAGTGTAAACATCACAGAATTTACAAGCATTATGTAAAATTAATATGAAAAAAACATTTGAATAAAATTTTAGTATGGTTCCTGAAATATTTTGATTTTTATATATTATTAATTCCCAAATAATATTAACAAACTAAATGTGAAAACTATAATTAATAATTAAATTAACTTATCATTTAAATAAAATTAAGACATTTATAAATTTTTATATTTTTTTTGATAACATTAAAAAAATAGTAAACTTATTCTATAATTAAAAAATCATGTTTTTCTATATTTGAATAAGTAAAATAAATTACCATTAGCTGTAAACTATAATACAATAATTATTTAATTAAATAATTACCCAATATATTTTTAATTAAAACATCCACTATTTTGAACTGTTTTTCTAATTTTTTTAATAATAATATATATATTATATTATCTAATATTTTTATATTTATAATTACAAATAATTGTTTTCAGAATTTCGAAATAGAAATTCATCAAAGACCAAAACTGTAAGTTATTTTTGTTTTCATTGAATAGATCACAAAATTAAAAAAAACTACTACTTTTGAGAAGACGAACAAATGAATACAAAAAACAAATAAATAAAGGCCGAAAATATCGTGTGTGTTCAGGCGGAGTCAGAAACCAAAATACCATTTGGCAATCGACTTGCCAATGCGTGTTTGAGACTTTCAAATGTGTCAAACACGAGAAATCCTTCTTGTGATATTCCTGAAACTTTTTGGAGCTTCAGCTCAATCACATTTCCAAATTGAGAGAAGTGTTTAAGCACCGAGTCTTTCGAGTAAATGACAGACGCTCTCTTCAAGAACAAAATGTGTTGATCGGCGTGTTCGAATGTTGTGACATTCGATAACTTCGAAGGTTTAAAGTTGTTATGTGGCATCACTGAGTTGTTTTGCGTGATGTGTGCACGTGTGTACTTACAGACGTAGGGTAAACGGTTGTAATGAATGGACATCAAATGCGAATTTTTAATTGACAGTTTGCTTTTATACTCTCAACCTCGACATGAACTAAACATTTTAGTATATTTACTATTATCTGACCACTTTCCAAAATATCTGCTTTGTTATTGGTACCCCATGAGGCTTGCAATGTATAACTGATTTTTACCTTGACCTGATTGCAATTGTATTCATTTTTGTTTTTGACTGCTTTCGTTTTCTTTCTTCGAAAACAAATGGAAAAAAAATGAGGAATTTCGTGATTAAGTGACGTGGAATCATTAATTCATAAATTAACTACAAATGAAAAACATTTACGGCTTTCGAGGGTTGTCGACTTTTCTTGCCTTTCGTTTTGGGGATTTATTATTTTCTTTGGTTTTGGATTAATTTAGTGTTGTAAGTGTATAGTACATTTTTATTATTAAATAAACTGGTTAAATAATTAGGAGAAATATCCAAATATATAATAATAAAGTTTTAATTATATTTTAATACAGTTAATAATGATTTTCACAAAATGCCGATTGAATTTTTTTTTTGTGGGCAAAATAATATTTTAGAATATTTAATAGTATAATATATTACATTTATGGTAAAATGTTTTTAATAATTTATGTACTCGTGATGTTTGAAATTTTCACTGAAGATAATTATAAGAAATGATTTTGGTTGTTTATAACCTTTTATAAAAGTTTGTGCTTTTTTTCGAAAAAAAAACTAAAAATGTTCAAATAAATTAATAAGATTTAAAACAATTTTAATAATCATTTTTTACTCAAAAAGTACCAATTTTGTAAACTTCACCACTCAAACATTTAATTATACACTTTAGTTATTTAATGTTAAATGTTAGTTGTTATTATGAGGTGATTATTTCATTTTTTTTGTAAAAGACTCAACATTGTGCTTTTTTTAAACACATAAAAAAGAAATTGTATAAAAAAGATTTAAAACTCATTTTTTCATTTTTTCATTGATTCATTATTTTGTAAATTAAAAAATGTGTATTTTATTTTACAAAACCACAATATGTATGAGTTTATATTAAAACATAAAAATATGATATTATTTTATTACAGATAGAGTATTTAATTGGTGCCAAGAAACTAGAGGATTGATTAATGTAAAAATTCAGGTTTTTATTATTTGTTTTCTTGATAATAATTGATATGAAAATGGGTGCCAAACTCATTTCAATTCTTAAAAGAATTCTGGCACCCAATAAGTTTCTGGCTCCCTGTAAATACTCAATCTGTATGATATGAACTTAAAGTTTTAAAAACTGTTGTAAATTTGAAAAAAATACACCTAATTTTTTTAATTAAAGGTAATTAAATGTTTTGAAATTTGGTAAATTTTCCAACGCAATTGTACAGTTAAAAATAACTTTACATTTGATCATGGTAAGTCATTCCTTACAACAATATGATTTTTTATTAAAAAAATAAAAATATGATTTTTTTGCATAAAAAAATGAGAATGAAAAATAAATGTTGTTTATATTTTTAAATATTTAAAAAAAAATTATTATAATTTGTTTTTATAATAAAGTATTATAATTTATTTTAATGTATAGTCACCCGCTAAAAGGTGTAAATTTACGACAAATGGTCTAAAGAAACCATTTTATAGTTTTTAGAAATTATGATTTTAGATTATGTTTCAATTTGTCATTTTTTTCTTTATATTGAAAGTATTTCAAAATTAACTATAAATTTACTTTATTCTAAAACATTGTCAAAATAGATTAAAGGTGAACTGAAAATCAATTATTAATGGAAAAATGCAGTACAAATACACTTACCTGGACAATACCAGAAAACAAAAAGACCAAACCTGCACCTGCGATGGCTTTCGACGATTCGGCAAATTCTTTGGATGTATCAGATTCATTGTGTTATTTGTTTGTGCTGTTTCTGTTAAAACAAAAAGAATTTTGCTACAGTCAATATAAACGGTTACAAATTTATATTGCTTATAAAAATATTAAGGTGTTCAATAAAAATATGGAAAGTTTGGAATCCGCAAAAGTGTTTATAAGTGTTATCAACCCATACTACAATATCAATGTTTTGGATGGTTTTCTGAGACTGAAAATAATTCAAAAAGATCTGGCAAAAATTTTCAAAGTGAATGAGCCAAGAATTTCCGCTGTTATTAAACAAGAAGAAGAAGCGTGTTATACATGTAATGAATCTAAAAGTAAATATAACATTTCTTTTAAACAATCTGATATACTTTGTTCTAAAATATCCAGAAGATTACTAAAAAACAAAGCAGTAACAACAGATTATGTTTGGAGTCTTTTTGTTGATGAATGCAACTTGAATACCACAAAAGAATCTTCAATTCGTTGGGCAGAAAGACGCGGGTTAAAACTTGTAACGTGCAAACAACTTGCAGAAAAACGATTCGATGTAAATCCCAATGATGTGTTAAATTACTTTTTGACTCTCCAAAATAGTGTAGATAATTGTTTTTCTGGTCTTGTTGTTAACATGGATGAAATGGGTTACAGTCCAAGAGCAGATTCTAAGGATGGACACTGTTTTGTTCCAATGAATTATGAAATGAAATTTGTGTATTGTCGACAAGAGAGGGATGAACGACATTGCACTTTAATTGCCACAGTTGTTACTGATGGTTCAACTCTGAAACCAACTGTTATTTTGCCCGTTTGTTCTATTCCAAATGAATATAGGTGTAATGGACTAACGGAAAATAATGTTTTATTCCGATACAGTGTGTCTGGATTCATTACGCGTGAAATTTGTGAAGACTGGATTAGAACTGTTCTGCTTGATTATATTAATAGAAAACGTGTTGAAATTAAAAATGAAATGAATGCGCTTGGAATTGAAATAAAAATGTCCGATCTTAGAGCTTGTCTAGTGTGGGATAATGCAAAAAGCCACATCCTCGATTATTGAATTGTTACTCGCTGAAAATAACATAACTCTTGTTAGATTAACTCCACATGCTTCTCATTTCCTTCAAGTTCTTGATTTGGGATATTTGGTAGGCTTAAAAGAAGAATGTCTTCTTTAAAAGCGAACGACAGTTTTGTAAATTTGCTTTTTCAAGAAGAAGTCGAAAATAAAGATGTGGATGGTAATTTATTTTGGGAAGATAAAAAACCAGATTTTTACAATATTGAACTCGGAAACAGACTAAGAGAGTTGATGATATTGGTGGATTCTTTCTTTGCTGTTACAACACCTCCTTTTAATATTATTGCTTTTAAACAAGCAGGAATAGTCAACTGGATTGACAAAACGCTTCCAAAGTGTCGTGTATCCATCGAACATTGTAAATTTATAAAAACGCCCCAATACAGAGAATTGTTCAAACAGTTTATTCCAAAACCAATTCCGTTGCTTCAAAAGAAAAGAAAGACAGTATTACTCCCTTTCCAAATTGAAGTTAAAAGAAAAGAAAGGGAAGTAAAAAAAGCATTAAAAACCCAAAATAAGATAAGGAAAAAAGAAACCACAATTTTAAGATTGCCGTTGTCTTCTAAACCATTCAAAAAACTTGACAAAAAATGATTAATTTTTTCTTATTTTTTTGACTTTTTCATGTTATTTATGTTATTCTTAATGTTTTTTATAATTATAGTATAAAATAATAAATTATAGTTTCTTTACACCATTTGTCGTGTTTTCATTGCTTTTAGCGGGTGACTATAATCATATATAAAAATTTATAATTATTAATTATGAAACAATTAAATAATTAATGATAACTATTTTATTTATTTATTAAATTATTAAATATTATTATTATATAATTATTTTATAAAAAAAAATTAATTAAAAAAATTTTAAAAATTTTAAATGTTAATTTATTTAATAGTTTAAAACCTCAAATTTCTGTTTTATTATAAATTTGACTCAAATTTTTTGAGTCAAAAACACACATTTTTATTTCTTTGTCTTTTTTTACATTTTTTCCTTCCCAAAAAAATTAGAAAACAATAGACAGCTTGTCTTTAACATTGAAAAAAATAATACAACCCATTTATGGGAATCAAACATGTTTAATGAAATCCAATACGAATACTATTAATTGGAATTATCTGAACTAATAAAATATTATCATTTTAAAAAAAAGGAAATAAGTAATAAATTCCAACTGGTTTTATTCGACTGAAAATGCCGAATTGACATTTTTATTTTTTTTTTCCAGTAAGAAGTTATAATAAAAAAAATATTATGTAATGGTCAGCATTTATATCAATTAAGTAAAAGTGGTGATGAAAACGGACTTTACAAAATAAAAGCGATCAGTTGTAATCGAAGGCGAAAGGTCTTTACCTCAACACATGCTAATTGCCCTCCACATATAAACCCCATTCAACTCATTACACACAACACTTTTTGATGACAACAATCCTACCAGAGAACTACGCGCCTCTTCTCGACCCCTTTCAGACTGAAATTGCGATCCGTAAGATCAAAGAAGAGTTTGAAGAGAATTTAAAATATGACCTTGACCTTCTTAGAATTACCGCTCCACTTTTTGTTGAGTCTGGGTATGGCATTAATGATGACTTAAATGGTGTGGAAGTCCCTGTCAACTTTGAAGTGAAAGGTCTGAACAACTCCCGAGTTGAAATAGTCCACTCGTTGGCTAAGTGGAAGAGACTTCAGTTGCATTACTTACACATTCCAGTAGGAGAAGGGATAGTGACTGATATGAATGCCATTCGCCCAATGGAGGATTTAGACAACATTCATTCAATTTATGTTGATCAGTGGGATTGGGAGAAGACCATTTTAGAGAAAGACCGCACATTAGACTATTTAAAAAGTGTCGTTGAAAAGATATACCACGCCATTTACAAGACTGAAGAATACATCTGTGACGAGTACTCAGTCCTTCACAAGAAATTGCCAAAAACTATTACGTTTGTCCACA